ACTCCCCTTATATTTTATTTGATTATAGGATTTTTATGAGGAGTTCCATCAGAAGTTACCCATTTTGGTATATCTAAATTGCTAAAACCCAAAATATGAGTCATTTCATGTATAACTACTTCCATTAATTTTAAAAATTAAATAGGATTATTTACGGTTGTTTCATCAAAATATTATAAATTGAAATTAACTTCACCATGAGTAGGCCCTAATTTATCAAGAAATTAACACCAACTAGCTACGGCTAAATAATCATCATCTTCATTATCTGTATATGTAACATATATATGTAAATCAGAATTCTTACCCTTAATTTTGTCATTTTAAGGAACAAGTGTTTCCCCACATTTGAGACTAGCTTATCTATATTTCATATTTTATTCAGATCTTGGTATTATTTTAATTAGACGAGAAAAATAGTCTATTGCTAGTTATATAGCTCTCTCGAATGTAGTAGTTAGCGTTTTATATATATCGTTAGAAGGTAATTTTTAGAAATAAGTCATGTCATAGCTTATTAACATATTACGGGGTGTTTTATTTTGTAAATTACGAATATCTAAAGATTCCTCATCAGGGGGTATTGAATCGTATTTTCTGATTCTTTTCATTTTATCGTGATTGCATTTGTGTTTAAGGATCTTAAGACTTAAAATGCAGGTTATTAATAATATGGTTATTATGAGTTTTTTCATAATAATTTTTTCTGATACTTACTTTATTTAATTTTTTTTATGTTTATTTATTTTATATATTATATTTAAAATTAAATGTATGTTTTATTTAATATTTTATTTTAATATAATTTTTTTTTTAATTTATTTAATTTAATATAAACAAATTTAATAAAATTAATTTTAAATAAAATATTTTTAATAAAACATGTAAAAATTTGATTTATTTATAATGAAAAAATTAAAGTTCATAATATAATTTGTATTTATATAGATTAAAGAAAAAAATTTAAATATAAAAATTTATTTTATTTTATTTTTTTATGTTATTTTCTATATTGTAATATAATATTTTTTTATTAAACATAGGATATAAAACAAATAAAATATTTTTTATTATTTATTATATTATTTTAAATCTATTTCTATTATAATTATTAATTAAATAATAATGAATTAATCAATAATAAAAAACAAATAATTATATAATTAATTATATATATTTTATAATTTATTTAATTTGAATAAAAAATACTTGAAATATATCTTTTGTATATAAATTTAAAAATAATATTAGATATTAGTATAAAAATAATATATATTTTTATATTATATTGTATTATATAAAATAAAATTATTTATAATTTAATATTAAAAAAAAAAAATTAAGCCACAAATAAATAAAGAAACTATAGACAAATTTAGAGACTTTTTAAAAACGTAAGTTAATTAATAGAAATTATAAATATAGAAATATAGACTATATAATTAAAAATAATTTATAAAAATATATCTAAATAAAAAATGTAGTAATTATTTTAATTATTAATTATTATAATTAAATATAAAATATTTTATATTAAATAATATACGTATTTTTAAAAAAATGTAAACAAAATTTAAATCAACTTAATGATAATATTAATAATAAAAAAATAAAATATATGCATAAAATACGACTATTAAAATTAGATTAATTTAATATGCATTAAATTTTTTACTTTTAATAATAAATAATATATAATATAAAAAATATAATTCAAGAAATATAAAAGTAATTTAATAAGATATAAAATTAAAAAATATAAATTTATATAAAAATTAAATAAATAAATGATATAAGCTAATATAAAATTTTAAAAATGAAAATTACATATTTAATTTAAATGGATAAAATTTTTAAAAGAATTATAAAATTAAATACTAAAAACCATATAATATAGATATAAATTTTAATTTAAAATTATAAAATTAGCACAAACTTAAAAAAAATATATAAACTATTGAATATTAAAATGATGTATATTTAGTTATAAAAATTAACAATAAAAATAAAAAAATTCAAGAAATAAGTAAAAATAAAATATTAAAATATGTATAAACTTATTAGAAAAATATTATAATAAAAAAAATAAGGATAAAAAAAAAAATATAAATTGAAAAAATAATTATATATATTCATATATATTAAATATATAAATATAATAATTTAAAATAAAATATATAATGAAAAAAATATATTCTAATAAATATATATATATA